AAACTTTGGAAATAATCATGAAGACAATGGACTCCGAACCAGGTGCATTCCTCTAAGTTTTCCTACCAATATGACCATGTTGCGAAAACAAGGTCAAACAACCTCTTATAGAATTTTTTCAAAAGCATAATTTCCACTTTCTTTTTATATTTTTTATCATTGGCTTGCGATTATGTGAAATTGGCTTACTGTCTAAAGATTCACTATTGCCGACCAAACCACTTATGCTCAACTGCTTCACATCCTACTTTTAATATTTCACTTCATATTGGGTCTTATAATTTTTATTTATTTGTTTGTTTACCGCAGTCACCTTCAGTTTACAATCCGTATTGATGTCCCTTCAATTGTCTATTCAACAATGGTGCCCCAAGCCTTATGCAAATATTTCTATATTTTGTACCTAAGCCGACATTTAGGCTATCAAATTTATTCCTAGCCTGGTCGAACCTTAAGTGAGCACTATCTTTTTACCAAATACCTTTGTTCTAAAGGATCTAGCTACTTTATTTTTCGCTTCAAGCTGATTTGCTCTGTTGATGGGGCTATCTAGTAATACTTTTTTGTATGAAATAATGGGAGTTAAAACTTTTGTTTCGTTTTCTTTTATCAACGCCTTTTCAATAATCTTTTTTCCAGATCCTATTCTTACTACGTTGAGGTCTCCTATGACCAGTCGAAGTGGCACAGAGTTATTGACTACCGCGCTTTTCTCTGTCGTTCCTGGCAAACACTTCACTTTAGTTCACGTGTCATTCGTCATATTCGTATTGTTGGCACGCGTAATACTTTCAACCGATTATTTAATCTTGTCACTTTCCAATGCTATTATACGGACGCTATATTCACCCCACTCAACGGCTTCATGGTAAGTCCCAATCACAGCATTCTGTATCTTTTGCTGTATGTATCTGCTGCATATTCTGCGGCATTCTAGTCTTTATCAAGACCTTTTGGATAATTTGTACTTATTATGAATAAAACACTCATTATGAGTTCCTATCTTTTAGATCCAACTAACCCATATTTATCTGTCGCACAAATATTTTTTTAATTCATATTAAATTCCAACTCCTTTCCACCAAAAGCTTTTTGATTGGTGCTCTATGGATTGATAAAACTTAACCATCTCTCTCTTTTTACTTTGGAAGTCATACTTTTCTAATTAAGAGCATATAGGAGGAAGACTAATGTAACTTCCCTGCATTCAACTTTTTGTGTGTGCAAAAGTCGTAATGATGGAAGTTGTTTGACCTTGTTTTCGCAACTCGGTCATATTGGTAGGAAGACTTAGAGGAACGCACCTAG